GGCTCGAACGGCCCCGCTGAACGGAGCCACCGCACGCCGGGGCAGCCGTCCCCGCCCTGTCCCGAGCGGCATGCGGGCAGGATATCCATCCCACCTTGCTTTCCTTTAGCTTCAAAACCGAGGGTTTTTTCCCCAAGTATTTAAAGTATGATGAGCAAAAATGGTGCAGTTATTTTTTTTAATTTGACCCCCTTCGTTGCAAGCTAAAGCCTTAGAGAACAGAGAAACCAACAGGTCACACAAGTTTTGTTCCCAATTAAAAGCAGAGAAGAAGCTGGATCCCTTAGCAAACCAGCTAAAAATAACTCTCTTTCCATGTAAGCAATTGTTTCAGCTGCTTCAGGGTTGTTGAATAGTTTGACAGAGGGGAGGGATGATGAGTTCAAAGCGTTTTAACACCCTTCAGTAAAGCTTGGAAACCTATCACAGAAGTTATTAAGCTAACATCTTATTTTTTTTCCCAGCAGACGTTCCTATTGGCGTTGTGAATAAACTATCAACACGCTTAGAGCTGAAAAGCTGTTGTTTTGCTGCTTTAACTCTTAGGTTTGTCAAAGTATATTCTCTGCATGTTATGTCCAACTTCAGCTGCTTACAACCTCTTCATAGTATTACCCGAGTGGACAGGTAAACTTCCACCTTGGGTGTGTTGGTTTTTGCCTCACCTACCTTACTGCTTGTAGGAGGATACAGAGGCACTAAGAAGCTCCTTTGAGTAACAAGGCATTTCCTAGTGCCTTTATTTTTGTTGTAAGACTACCTTCAGTTCTAGCTCAGTTGCAGTATACAGCTGTTTCAGTGGTAGTTTAACTTAGCTGATAAAAATGTTCTGCATTTGTTTATTTAGAGTTGAGTAGAGTCTTTTTACGATGTTAAGTATAAAAAAAAGCTAATATTGATGGGATTTTTTACCGGCTTTCTATGGGGCAAAGCAGGGAAAGGGAAGAACAGGGTGGTGTTCCCTTTCAGGTGATGTGTGCATCACTCTTTTTGACCGTCATGGCCTTCAGGGGCCGTTGTGGCAATTCCATGCCTGAGAGCGCTATGTTGGCTGGCATGGAGCCTCCCTGGAGAAAGCAGCAGGTGACAGAATCAGGGAGGGATTGCAAACTTTTCATTACTTTAAGAAAGTACTTAAATAGGCTTATCCCTTCTCTCCCTAACAATTCCCAAGTTCTTACTTTTGCAATACAGCTACTTTTAAGAAAAGTCCTTGAGTTGTTTATGGACTGTTTTATACCTCCTCTGTATGGCTGAAGGAATAGAACAGCTCTGTTGAAACACTTCGTATCCTTACACTTCCAAAGTCAAACTTATGCTTGATTTAAAGGATTTCAGGAGCCTGTTTCACGTTGCGTAGAGAGGAACTGAAGATTGTACAAACACTTTGAGATTACTTCATAAATCCTTTAAAATTCTTAAAAGCATTAAGTCACAGTGCTCATCATTTCACAGCTGAGTTTAATTTGAAGCTGGAATTTAACATGAAATTATCGTGGAAGATCATTTCCACTTTGAATAGCAGTACATATTGGTCATTAGTGGAGACAAGCCTGCCTTTGCCTATGTTGTATTTGCAGGAATTAAGCTTAGAAAAGGAACCCCGCAGCCCAAATGCACAAAATACACCTAATATTGTCAATACTGATTATTTTAATGTAACACAGTGTTACAGAAGCATGTTATTTAGTCGATAGTACTCTATTTTGGCCACTGTAAAAAAGTTTCAAGAAACATCCAAAGTTGTGATGAATTGCAGCCAGAGATCTCAGAAACTTGATTTTTTTTTTTTGTTGAACACTTAGATTCAGGCACTGTGCTTGTCTTGCGAAATGCTTGATTTTTGTAATGAGACCTGCAGAACCAGTATCTGGTTTTCCAAAGTCAGGCACGTACATCAAGGACAGGGTGGTAATCAAATACATCCCTTGGAAGCAGAAGCAGTGGGGATGGCAAGTGCTGCGGGTTGCTGCGGGGCACGAGTTAGAGTTTCTGATCCTGCAGCAGAATGGGTACAGAATTCTTCCCTGGTGGTAGTGGAAAATACTTTTCAATGCAGAAAACACATCCGCCAGTGTTCCAGTTCTGTAGGCTGCTGGATCCCTGATGACAGTAGGTTACACGTCGGAGAATTCTAATAAGGAACGTTTGCAAAATGTTAAGTATTTTGGGGTTTAAAATCTAGATAAGTAGAGTTTGATTTATTTAGTGGGTTTGCATGTCAAAGGTGGACTTTGCTTGCCCTGTACAGTTGTATTCATGATAGTTACACAAGTCAGTGATCAACACGGGCTGATCACTGACTGATTTTCTACAGCTTTTGGCTTTAGTTTGTACCACGTTATTCCTACAGTCGTAATAGGACCTTCAGTAGGATAGCAGATATTCCTTCTGCAGCCTGTCCTTAATTGTGAGCAAAATGGGCTCAGGATTTTTACTCTACCCTTTAAATACTTGGCTTTTTCCTACCCTCACCCCTCTGTTTCCTCCTGTATGCCACCCCTGTGCCCTGCAGCCAGAGAGGGCCCTGCCTCACGAGGATGGGGGTAAGTGCTGACTTGCCCAACCTGTTTTCTAGGTTTCCTAGATCTAAAGGACAGGCTGAGTTAGGATTCCCTTCCAAAATGGCTGCTCTCAAGGAAGAGAGGGACGTGGAAGACTACAAGAGGAAAGGAAGGCGATCCTCACAGGTGAGAGGATTGCTTTTTTACTATTTAAAAAAGTAGCCTTAAGGGGAAAAGATTAAAAAAGATATTTCTGTCTGATGTATTAATTCATAGCTGTTTTTCCTGCCTTATCCCCGTGTTAGTGGAGTAACTATAAATTGCAGTATATTGCTTGGTGGTCTAGGGGGTGGGGTGTTAAGCATAGCGGGGAAATTGTGCTTTTCTGGTTCTTCAAACTCCTGTTTTTAGTGGGAATGAAAACAGGATTTTTAATAATTTTTCTTTTTTGTTTGTTTTTTATAAAAATGGTTGCCTGATAGTCACTGCAAATGAAAGCGAGGCTGTACTAAGTAAAAATAACTGTTTTCTTTTGCTTCTAGCAGAAATACCGTAGACTGAATAAGGTGCGTAGTATAGAGAAGATGTTGGGGCTGTTCTGGGAGGAGGGGAGCTAGTTACTTTGGGGCAGGGTGTGGAAGTGGGAGGGGGGAATAAAAAGTCTTGATCCCCTTCAGAAAGTAAACTCAATTTTGCACTGAGCAAGGAGGGTATGAAATATGCTTGTGTGGCTCGTACCTGAAATGCCTACTGGTTGTTACTGGGATTTGTTTGCTGACGTGAATTTCCCAGGGTGCCTGGCCATCCTGGCCCGTTCAAACTGGGTTTTTCTGGAGTGATGCAGGACTGCAGTGTGGGAGGGCCCGTACTGAGAGTTAAGAGCAAGCCCTGCGGGAGTTGCATGCATATGGTAGCTGATGGTTAGTTTGTGCTGAAGCCTGGTGTGTAAGTCCTTCTGGAAGGCATGTTGCAACTGTCTGACTGCTCTGGGACTTGGGATAGAATGTAACTGGGGTCGCTGGGGCCTACAACATCCGCTCCTGCAGTTCACAACAGCAGCTGCCGGGGAAGGCGCTTCAGTGCTGTGAGATTTGTAGAGAGATGTGTCAGGAAGCGAGGTGGAGGTCCCAGATGTGTGTAAGCCCGCTGGTTTCTGGGGCAGAGCAGGCCCGCCTTGCCGGGCTGGCCGCAGGCAGGCCTAGGTGCGGTGCAGGTGTTTGTGGGGGTACGATACACGGGGGGCTCCGCCTCAGAACAGTGCCTCTGGGGAGAAGTGCTGCATCTCCAAAAGGCTTGCTTCTCAAACCCCTTGCCATTCGCAGGTGGAGTGTGTAGCACACCCAGAACAAAGGCGGTGCCTGTCTGCAGCACCTTCAGCCCAAAGATGAGGATTGTGGCAGGAATCTCGGGGGTGCTCGTTGCTGTTTGTCTTCCCTCGTGAAAGAGTCGGGGTCAGACCGTGCTGAGTGCGCGGGGTTTCAGGCAGGAGGCAGGAAGCAGTGGTTCGCCCTTGGGTGTGCTGCGCCCGTGGCCCCGCCCCTCGGCCGCCATATTGAGGGTGGAGGAGATGCGATTCCTCACAAAATGGAGGCGGTCGGTGCTGCATAGGGCTTTGGCTTGAGGAGGGGAATCGCTAGTCAGGGCTGGAAAGAAAGCTTCACGCCTCCTCTGAGCCCGTTAATATGTTTGGGAAACCCCTTAAACTGCCTGAGGGGGAGGAATGAGGCTTGCTGCGGGCAGGCCGGGCGATCGTACTGCTACCCCCGCCCCCCCCCCGAAGCAGTGCTGCAAAATGGCGTGCTGGCCGGCAGCGTCGGCTGAGCGGGAGAGAGCAGCGCGGCAGTCAGGCAAGGGGGGAAGGGAAAGATGTGCTGCGCAGGGCTCCCTGCCCGGGGGAGGCTGCTGTTACAACCAGCTTCCAGCAGCAGGAGTGAGAAACGACATTCTGTGCCATAGAGAACAGCGCTCTGAAAACCCTAGAGATGCTTACCCCAGTGAGAACGAAATGCCAGAAAACCCCCAACTAATTCCCTAAGAAGACGTTGCCTTTTATCTCTGCGGAGAGCTCTTGTCACATGGGTATGTCCCAAGAACAGTTTCTCGCGGATGGAAGAGAGAAGCTGTAACAGCAGGTGCTTTTCCTGCCGCGTGAGAATGGCAGTTCATGTGTGCGTAATAAAAATAAGCCGGAAAGGACTTTGCTTTTCCTTTCAAGACTGACCTGTAGAATTCTGTGGTCATTTTTCTAAGGTAAAAGCCATCTTGAGTTGCTAACCGAATATCCTGTAGCCTTAAGGGGTCTCAGAGCTGTAAAACATCTGCCCAGTTCTTCCTTACATAGGTTTTTGGGTTTGGAGGAGTGTAAACTCTGTAGTTTCACGTAACAGATTTCCTCTGACATGAGTAGGAGAGTTTGAAACACTTCATGTTCCCAGCTTTAACGTAACCCAGCTAAAAATTAAGTAGTGTCAGTAGATTTTAAAAGAAGAGAGGCAATTCACAACAGAAAGCAGTATTTCCCTTAACCTGGAGCAGTTTCCTTATACAGTAGGTGTGTTACCCTGCAAGTTCAGAACTAGTTAGAAGATTTTTAATTACACTTCTGTAGTCCAGAGCACTTGGAAGACCATGGAACAGAAGCATCACTTTGTAGTCCCGGGCCCACTGACTGTCAGTCACTTATATAATGTTCCTGCAGTAACAAAGTTAATGCCTTTAATAGAAGGTTGTTACCAAGACCTGCTGGGGCTCTTTCTTGATGAGTTTAGTAGGTGTAAGAGAGGGATCTGCTTCCCAGCCAGCTTTTCATAATCTTAGGCATTGTTTCCTGCAGTACGACCTGAACCTTATAACCCAGTGGTTTTCTAAAGCAGTGTATAATTCAGAAATCCTCTGTTTCCATGTGTTGCCTCCAAATATTCACTGCTCCTTAGGGTGGTGGTGTTGCACTCGAGGGGCGTATGCTTTTCTCAGCAGCCCTAGCACCACCCCCCGCTTTATTTAAGCTGTGGCAGAGGTTAAAGCAGACTCCTACATGCAGGAGTCTGGCTGGTTTTGTGTGGTTCAGCTGCGAGGCTGATGCTGCATCGAGCCTGGGTTAACCCACTGCAGAAAAGCCAGTGAAGCCTGTCTGGCACGCGTGCTGCAGCACTGAAGTCACGTGCACCTTGTTGTGGAGTCTTTTACACGCTCCAGAGTACCAGTGTGCTAAATAAAGTTTTGATCTCTTTGCTTTTAATGAGACTTCTCTGTCTTGGGGATGAGAGGAAGCTGTAAAATAATTTTTCAGTGAACTCCTGTCAGATGTATGGGGGTGTTCCCTGCCTAACTGAAAACACAGGCCGCGCTGAAGAGCGCAGGAACAGTGCTGAAAAGCAGCACGCCGCAAAGTAGGGCTGGTCTTAGGTAGGGGACATTGTCAAGAGCGTCACGTAAGCTTCAGCTTGTTACTTGATGCTTGTTACGGGACCAGTTTTACCCCAGTAGGTGTACTCACTGCTGGTCAGCGATTTGTTACTCAAGACTGACTTCTTGTCTGTAGGATGTAAGTCCCTGTTGATTCACATTTCGGGGGTATTTCCCCCAACGCTGAAAGCCACGTGTGTGCAAGCCACCACTTTCTGGCTTGAGAGCACTCTGCTCACAAGGTTATAAACTGTAAACTTTGTACTCAGACGGCATTAAGAATTGATAAATTTCTTCCTGAAATAACCTTCCACAACGGGCAGCCAAAAGCCTGGACACTCAGTTTGGACAGTAACCGTTTTTTTGGTACGCTGTTCTTAGAATGTTTGTAGTTCCTCATGCGTAGGGTTCGTGAAGCCTTAGGAGTTCCCTGTGCCTAGCAGCGCTTCGCTGCGTGTCCCCACAGAGCAGTGTGCAGCTCCAGCGTCAGATAGGCATAAAAGGAACGCGCTTCCGGCGGGGTGGGGAGCGACCGGGTGGTTACTTGGCGTCTTGAGATCTCGTTACCGTTGTTTGCATTTGAGCACTCTTACGTTGTTAGTTAGTTAGTGTTTTAATTAAAATCACACCTCATTGAGTGTTTACTGTGCTGCTGTCTAAGCCCATTAGAAGTCATTGCTTTTATGTACATGTATTCCACCTATTTGTAGTTATAATGGGCACAGGTAATTGTTAGTCATTCTGTGAAGCTTTAACTCTGGTTTGTATTCAAAATCCGGTTTTGGTTTTTGATTTTGTAGGGCCATGAGCCAAAGGAGCCAGAGCAGTTGAGAAAGCTGTTCATTGGAGGTCTGAGCTTTGAGACAACAGACGATAGCTTGAGAGAGCACTTTGAAAAATGGGGCACGCTCACGGACTGTGTGGTAAAGTCTCGAAATACTAGTTGGTGCTTTTGGAGGGGTAGAGGTCCTTAATCTTGGACAGAAATGCGGAATACCCCCATCTTTTTTTCCCCTGCAGGTGATGAGAGACCCCCAGACAAAACGTTCCAGAGGCTTTGGCTTTGTGACTTACTCCTGCGTGGAGGAGGTGGATGCTGCCATGAGTGCTCGACCGCATAAGGTTGATGGACGCGTGGTTGAACCAAAGAGAGCAGTTTCAAGGGAGGTCGGTGGTGTTTCAGTTAACCCTATTTCCTGGTCTTTACCTGGTTTGAGACACTGAATGTCATTTTTGGCATTGCAGGATTCTGTAAAGCCCGGGGCTCATCTCACAGTAAAGAAAATATTTGTTGGGGGAATTAAAGAAGATACAGAAGAATATAATTTAAGGGAGTACTTTGAAAAATATGGCAAGATTGAAACCATAGAAGTCATGGAAGACAGGCAAAGCGGAAAGAAGAGAGGCTTCGCTTTTGTAACTTTTGATGATCATGATACAGTTGATAAAATTGTTGGTATGTAGCTCTTCAGTCAGAAGTGTAGGTTTTGGAACAGCAGCGTGCGGGATGTCGCCATAACCAACTGCTTGACCTTTGCAAGAAACGGGGTGGGTGTAATGTTCCCTTTGAAAGGGTGGTCACCCCTCATGGCAGCTTCCTGTGAGCCTTCTACAGCGTGTCGCTTCCAGTGGTTTGGTTCTTTAACTCTCCCTTTGCACTTCCCTCTAGTTCAGAAATACCACACCATAAACGGACATAACTGCGAGGTGAAAAAGGCGCTCTCCAAACAGGAGATGCAGACTGCTAGCTCTCAGAGAGGTAAGTTTGGGGTTGGGCGTGGTTATTCTCTGTAACTAGTCTTCCATAAATACAATTTAAGTGAAATATTTCGTAGGTCGTGGGGGTGGCTCAGGCAACTTCATGGGCCGTGGAAACTTCGGCGGTGGTGGAGGGAACTTTGGCCGAGGAGGAAACTTTGGTGGAAGAGGTAAATGACTGGAATGTTTACAGAGAACGGGACTTCTGTTTTTCTGATTTCCTGTGTCAGTTGGCTTAAACACCTAACACGTGTGTTGAAGAAAACATTCTCATCTGTTTTGTGTTCTAGGAGGCTATGGGGGTGGTGGTGGCGGTGGTGGGAGCAGAGGAAGCTTTGGGGGTGGTGACGGATACAATGGATTTGGTGATGGTAAGTGTACTGCTCACTCCCCCCACTCTTACAGTCAACTGTGAGTCTTGCCTTCACCTTAGAAACCCATCTGCTTTGGCAGTGACAGTTTCTGCATCGTAGAGCTGTGAAGTGGGGGGTTTTGTGGGTAGTAGTGTCTTTTCCATGGTGGAGTTTGGATGAGTATCCAAGATGCATCAGAAGAGGACTATGGAAATCACCAAATGGCTGTGGGAGGGAGTGTGGTGTGGGGAGTGGGGGAAGTGGCATGTAGTTACTGCTGTCTCGATACTATGAGCAGGTGCCTCTAGTGATGTTGAGCTCTTATGAGAGAAAAAGAACGTCCAGTAGCTTTGACAGACGTGCGGGTACAGCCCTATGTCTGGATACGAACAGCACAGCCGGGTTCTTCGGAGGGCTTTGCCCGCCGAGCCATCTCCCAAGCTGTGGGAGCAGTGGGGGTGATAGGCCGTGCTGACAAAGCCATCTGTGTAAGAGGCACTCGCCGTGTAAGGCGTGGTGGTGGCAGCGTGTCGGCGTGTCCCCTGCCAGCCAGAACGAACCTGTGTCACGCTTCAGGGGTGCACGGGAACTGACGGGGGTTCTGTTTGCATTGAACAGTTTAGATCAACTGTGGAACTGCAATAACCATAGTACAGGGAAAACACTGTGGGATGTTCTTCCTGTGTGGCTTTGGTGGCTTTTTTTAAACAGACCTTTTCTGAGCAATGGTGTGTTCAGTTTGGCTCTTCTGTTCAAAGGTGGCAACTATGGAGGTGGTCCTGGCTATGGCAGCAGAGGAGGTTATGGTGGTGGTGGAGGACCAGGATATGGAAACCCCGGTGGTGGATATGGAGGTGGAGGAGGAGGATATGATGGTTACAATGAAGGAGGAAATTTTGGTGGTGGTAAGATACCAGCTTTAATTAGACATCTCTTTTGTTTTTAGTTCGGTCTGAGTTGTACAATGCCCCCAGGTAGGATCCAGCATGAAAGGAGCTGTACATGCGGTGAGGTCTTAGTGCAGAACTCTGTGTTACAGGAGGAGAGTTCTGTTCCACCTGGACCAGCTTTGGTGCAGTGTGCAACATTCTTTTGCCTGGAACTTCTTTTTCAAAAAGCAGAGCTACAAATCCATGGGGGGGAGCAGAGTAGGAGGAGTGTGAAGCTTTGTCCCTTTGAAGTATGCCGTCAGGGTCTGATACCAGTTCACATCATGTAGATGATCTTCTCCTTTGTGAGGACTTCAGCTTTTTAACTGCCTGCCCCGCGTTTGGGGAGTTATGGTGCACAACGTCCCATGTCCTTCATTATGCCGCCGGTGTGCATGTGCCGTGCGCCGTCACACGGGTTGTGCGTAGTTCTCGTTGCTGCCTTACATGCAGAGCGTTGGGCAGTGGAAGAGTGACAGCGAAACGTGCTTCTTGGAGTTTGGAAGCCTTAAATTTGGCCTGTTTTCTTAACTCCAGTTGCCTACTCAAACGTGTGTCAGTTTTTTGACCTCATGTGATGTTCCCCATCCTCACCAAAACGCCAGTTCCTGCAGAATGCTCGGGGTCCGTTTGGCCGCTGTGCACAGGGGTGGCATGCAGAATGCTTGTGGCTCTCTTCCGAGCCGCTCGCCACAGTTGCGGTTCCTGTTTGCGTTGGGTATCGTTACGTGGCAAGCTTTGTGTCCAGAGCGCTGGGCAAAAACGGGTTTATAAACGTGTGTTTGTTTCAGGTAATTATGGTGGGAGTGGAAACTACAATGACTTTGGCAATTACAGTGGACAGCAGCAGTCCAACTATGGTCCCATGAAAGGTGGTGGCAGCTTTGGTGGCAGAAGTTCGGGCAGTCCCTATGGTGGTAAATACAGTTGTGTGGAGAACTTACTTTTTTGGGGGTTCAAGCTTGCAGTTATTCTTGTATTTGACCATACTCCCTGTCTTTTGTAGGTGGTTATGGATCTGGAAGTGGAAGTGGGGGCTATGGTGGTAGAAGATTCTAAAAATGCTACCAGGAAAAGGGTAGGTGTCATGCATATTTATAATGATGCTTAATGATGTGCAACTGTTCACTGAGAGTAATAATTTTCTTATCCTGTATTCAACAGGCTACAGTTCTTAGCAGGAGAGAGAGCGAGGAGTTGTCAGGAAAGCTGCAGGTTACTTTGAGACAGTCGTCCCAAATGCATTAGAGGAACTGTAAAATCTGCCACAGAAGGAACGATGATCCATAGTCAGAAAAGTTACCGCAGCTTAAACAGGAAACCCTTCTTGTTCAGGACTGTCGTAGCCACAGTTTGCAAAAAGTGCAGCTATTGATTCATGCAATGTAGTGTCGATTAGATGTACATTCCTGAGGTCTTTCTCTGTTGTAGCTTTGTCTTTCTTTTTTCTTTTTATTTTCCCATTACATCAGGTATATTGCCCTGTAAATTGTGGTAGTGGTACCAGGAATAAACAAATTAAGGAATTTTTAACTTTTCAATATTTGTGTAGTTCAGTTTTTCCACATTTAGTACAGAGAACTCTATAACAGAAATAAAATGTAGTTCAGGGTGTTTCCTTGTTAGTTAATGGAGAGGATTAATGCATTTCTCAATTACTCTTTTGTATTAATTTAAAGTTAACGATAGAAACACCTATTGATTTGCAGTCTTAAGGGGTCTAGTCTCAGTGTGTGTATGTACCTGTCGCTGACACGAGTTCCGTAGGCGTGCAGAGGGAAAACACCCGTTGCGTTACAGTGTTGAGATGTATAACAGGATTGAGTTACTCCAATTAGTGTTTGTGAATTATAGAACTAAGCTTTACCTTAATGGAAACTTCCAATTACTTTTCGGTTTGTGCATTTTTTTTAATTTGTAGTTCTGTATTAGTCCTAGCGCTTCAAGAAAATAAGGCATGATAAATATTTTAACAAGACCAACTTTAGACACATTAAAGCTGTCTCCCGTCTCATTTGAGATGTCCAAGGGATAACTGCAGTTGCTTAAGTCTTGGGTGGAGAGAAAAACTCGCTTTTTACCTTTATATTTATTGTAATTCCCAAGAAGTTAAGGTGGGGGGAATCAAGTGCCTGTTTCCTTGGGATATACAATGACTGTTTCAATAAAACGCTACTTTGGGGAGGGTGGCTTGGAATTTTCATCCCCTTCCCATCTCCCCGTTTCCCTCTCCCTCGCATCGCACCGCACCGTTTCAGTTAAAGGAGGTGGCGTAGTGAGAGCGGTAGGCTCGTCCCTCAATAACTTACTGGCTCTATGTCGCGTGCACCCCAGACAATTTTCTGGCCACGTTCCTCTGACTGGGAGCCAGGGGTAGCGCAGGTGTGATCCCTGACAGCCCCAGGTAACGCGTTCCAAGAGCCCGCTCACCCTGGGCTCCCAAGTAGTGTAGTTCTTGGCCCTTGTCCCTTGGCAGCGTCTGCGCTCAGCTGAGAGCTGGAAGAGAAACCACAACACGGCCTAGCGGTGCTTGACCCACTAGGACGCTCCCCGGGGCGTAGAACGGTGCGGTCTTGGGTTCCCCAGGTAGAAGGGTAGAGTGATAATGGTCTGATTGGATACACTGGGGTAGCAAATCTTACCAGCACGTGCAGCTGGAAACTGTACCTCGTTCTCACAGCTGACCTCCGCAGTAAGGCGCTGCAGTCTGTCCTTTCTCACCTGACTGATTCTCTCGACCGTTGCCAGGACAGTGCTTTCTGTCGAGTCAGACTCAGAGGAGTAGGGGCGCAGGCAGTAGAAGAAATGCTCAGACACTTGGCAGTGTGGTGCTGGAATTGCTCACGCCCGTTTCACTTCTGGGTCAATGTGCAGTATCAGGTAAATGCGATTCCAGTGTAGGAATGACTCCGCAAAGGTGTGTGAAATGGCTCGAGGCGTAATCAGTCGTATTAATAATGAATTATAATTTTAAGAAGTAGTAGAAAAATGAGTGTGTTGTTTGAAAAAAAAAAAAAAATTAAACACTGTTATCTCAACAATGTCATTGGAGTGTATTTAGACCGCAGTGCACTAACCGAGGAGCCGGTGTCGTGATGGTAGCCTCCAAGCTGCATTGCAAAGTCTGCTCGTTCCTTTCTGTGGAGTTTTACCTAAAGTTAAAGCAAGAACTGGTGATTTAGTGAACGCTTCTGTTGTTGTACATATTCATTTGGGCTGGCGGGGGGAGGGGGAGGGGGGAGCTGTATGTCAATAAAGGCATTTTATAAACAACCCACGTGGAGTTTGAAAACGTTGGAAACCCACAACTCACTAGGGAGCGAGCCACCTAACTGCGACTTGCTTTGTACCTCACTACGCTTAGAAGATGTGTAGACTTGCACCCCGGGCCTGCATCCGGTTGCAGGGGCAACTGGAGGATGGGGTTGATGTCCCTTCTGACCACTGATCTGGTGTTTCTAAATTTTTTTTTTAGAATGTATTGACAGTGTTCTTTTTAACAGGGCCTCTGGTAGCTGTACTGTGACAACAATGTTAACTTTGAAACTAGTGTCGTAATAAACTTTATGAACAAGATCTGTACGCAACCTCTTAAGAGCTGGATGTAAGTGACCGCTTTGTAGGTGGGCGGGGTAGCTTAGCTGCTGTCTGTGACGTGGAGAAGCGTAAGCCGTGAGGACAGTGATTGACCAGCTTTTAAGATCCTAGGACGTACTCCTCTGACCCCTACTTTGCTAAGGAGACTCTTAAGACAGGACTTCAGCAGCCCTATTGAGTGGAGAAGTCAGCCTAATTGCAGAATGACAAGGCAGCAGGAGCGAGCGACAGCTTCAACTTCCAGAGAAGTGAAGGCATACTGATAGTGAGCAGCTGTCCAGAGGCTAGTTAAATCTGCTTATCGCAGCTGACATGGCGAAGAAAGCCTAGCAAGAGTTCTTCACCTTTTGGAACCTCCTTGAGTGATAGCTACTTGAGTTGACTCAAAGTCACTAGGTCTAGCATTTAGACCTGAAAGGAAGGGCAATGAGCATAGGTAAGGTTTGCCTTTAAAATTTTTCACGAATTCTAAAGAGTAGCGGGAGGTTTTTAAACGAGGTAAGAGTAATTTCTTTAATTTTCAGGTTGAATGAGAAGCTGCTGCTTGACAAAATGGGGAATGTCTTGCACATCCTCTTCAGTTGAAGGTTTCTGACGGGGTAAGATTCGTAGCGCATAGTGAAACACTTGTCTAACCCTTCTTTCCTTCCGGGCTTTCCTTGGCCAGGCTTTAATGTCAAGGAAGGCCTCTGGCGTTGAGGAGCAAGTATTCCAGCATACGTTGCCCCGCGTTCCTCTTCTGGATGAGGGTTGCTTGCTGGCATAGTTGCTGGTCCAGTCTGTGTTCCTGGCTGGTCCCAAATGGCAGGGTGTGCTGGGTCAGTGGGATGGAAACGGTCGGTGGGACGGAAATGCGTGCTCCCCTTCCTGGGTGGGGGTCAGGGTGGTGAGAAACGGTTTGCTGCCTTGTGATGGGAAGAGGTGCCTTACCCAGAAGCGAAGAGGCTGGAGCGGTTCGTCAGTTCCTGTAGCGCAAGGGGCAGCTCCTGCAGCAGCTCTGTAACGGGGCTTCGCACTGGCCAGAGCGGGGGGTCCCTCCGGGGGAGCAGGGGGTCCCGCTTGCCCGGTGGGTTGGGGTGTTACCTGGTCTGTGCAGGTCCAGGGGCTCCCGTTCAGGCCTCGCGCTTTCGGGCACGGCGGTTCAGTGGGGCTGATGCTGCCGCCTGGTACCCAGCTGAGAGCAGAGCTGTGTGCGTAGGGGTGAATGGCAAGAGAATAATGTGTCCTGGCATCTGCTTCGTGCACAGGTTCTTAACTCTTGGAACGTGTTTCTCCTCCTGTGCGTTGCTGTCCTGGAGTCAGTTTCTGTTCCGGTGTCAGCTGTGCTTCCCTTGCTCAGAAAACAGTCAAATGGAACCTGTGGATTTCAGTTCACCTGGGCTGTGGCATGTTCACAGGCAGATTCGGGTGTTCAGAGGTGGTACCTGCTGTCTGTGAACATCCAGAAGGCAAGCTCTTGAAGGCAACAAACAAAAGTTAACTCGGAAGTAACTCACAGTGGCAGTGCTGAGATTTTCACAGGATCAGGAGCTACTTAATGGAAACCTCACTGTGACCGAAGAGGGGTTTAGAAATGCTGACAGAAGTAGCTGGTTAGCCAGAGTTCGGCCAAAAGGCAGAGCTGCCACAGCAAGGTCGCCATCTCCCCACGGAGCAGCAGGCCGGTGGCTCGCTGCTGAGCGAGCTCTCCTGCCTCCGCTTGCCCTCTGCCCCGCAGTCACCTCGTGAGCTGCCCCGGCAGCTGCACGTAGCGATGGGGCGGAGTCTGTGTGTCTCGTTACCCAGTCGAGGGCAAGTGCTTTGGTCCAGGGGAAGGGTGGATTACCGTTTTTGAACAGTAGAATCCTGAAAATGTTTTAAGTCAGTTGTAGCAGAACCTCTTTCTAGCTGGCATCCTGTTCCTAGGCCTGTGCACAGAGCAGATCTCTACCTTTCCCTGGCACAAGAGGGTTTATGTGCCTGCACACCTACTCTCTGCTCTGGAGGAGTCCTGCCCCGTGCACAGACCTAGATACTCCCTGCTGCTAGCGTGATTTTCATGCCCGAACTGCTGCGCTCCTGTTCGACCAGGTCCATGGGTCTCAGCTATTTGTGCCTGTTTGTTCTGAAATGAACCTTGTCAAAGACAAACGCCTCCCGACGGGGTTCTGGGTCACATGCACCTTTGCCCACGAGGCACTTCCAAGAGTTAAGAATGCTGTTCCCCGGGTGGGTTTTCCTGTAGTGAGTGGCTGCTGCTGAAAGCAGTAGCTGTGGGTGGAGATGGAACGCTCACGCAGCCCCGGCCCCTCAGCTGCAGCTCTGCAGGAGTTTGGTTCCCAAACCCCTGTGTTAACGTAAGAGCACGTGGTGGTTCCAGGCAGTGAGTGTGTGTTCCCCCCAGCTTGATGCAGATGTGGTAAGTGTCTGAAATGAAACAGCATCCTGATGTTGATCTCTTCCTAAGACTGAAGGCAGGAAGGGGAACGCTCCCGGCCTTTCAGGCACTGACGCGTGATGATGCGCTGACTTGCTCTCTGGGTCCTGTGTTTAAGACGCGAGCGGGTCGGCATGCTGCCTGTGCTGCGCTGGTCGCCTGTCCGTGGTCTCTGTTTCTCAATCCGTGTGAAAGATCTCAAGTGTCGCTACAATTCCGATCTCTGATGGCTGATTCTTTTTCTGCTGTGGGTGCTACAGGTTGACATCTCTCTCTAAGATTAGCTTTTTCCTGAACTAAAGTAATCCAAGTATCTCCGTAGAAGAAAAATGGCCTTCATGTAGAAGATAATGTCGCAAGATTGGAAACAGAGTAATATGCTAAAGTAACTGGCAAAGACGTCAGGAGCAATGGTGGTGCTGTGCTGCGGTCTCAGAACTTGTGGTCGAACAAGTTGGAGAACAGCATGGAAATGGAAACGTTTGGTATAGTCCATAATGGATTGAAATGTGTTAAAATACCTCTATTTTGTATCAGAATAAAGCGTACGTTGTCAAATGACTCACTCCAAAACGCGTTGCCGTCACCTTTTTCCAGTGCTGCGAGGAACGCAGAGTGCTCTCAGTTTCCTGCGGCATGCTCCGAGTTCCAGGATCGCCTTTCCAACTGGGGACTGTGAACACCAGAAAGCCTTGGTCCGGCCACGCTCCCCGGCGCCACTGTTAGCGGCTCTGGGCCGGAATGTCCTGGCCAAGAAACGATGGTGCCTGGGTGGAGGCGCGTCAGCCTGCTAGCTCGGCGCTGGGGCGCTTTGGATGTGGCGGTGGTGCTGGGCGCGCTCGGGTTTGGGGATGTGCTCCGTACCTCGGTCGCGGTAAAATGAAAGGTGCGGTTTGCGACCTGGTGTTTTTGCACATACCAGACACTCCAGCATGGCAGAGTACGTTTACCCTGGACGGGGTTGGGGGTTCAGCGGGAGCGCAGCGCTGGCTGCATTGGTGGTGTGGGAGATGCCGCTTTAACCTGCGCGTTGTGGTCTGAGGTCCTGCAGATGGAAACTTTCCCCGGTGGAGTTCGGACAAGGCTTCTCCATGAACTGCAGCATCTTTGCTGTTGCTTTTTTTGCCTGGGTGCTGGCGTTAAGTCTCCCTGCGTTAGGTTTTAGATGGCGGTATGAGTGCAACGGCCCGTGCAGCGGCTGTAAGGCTGCCGTCTGCCCTCAGCTTTTGCACGAGAGGAACACGCTGAAGCGGAGGGCAGGGGTTTACCGAGGCTGCTGGTTTGTAGCCGGTTTGTAATCGCGGTGTTTGCTTTACAGCGTTAGTCGGAGGCATCCGATGGCGGAGTGCATAGCCAGGGGAACCCTGGAGCTCTTCCTCTGGGTTCTCTGTGCTTTGCCATCAGCCCTACCTGTGCATCAGAGCCGCTGCGTACCGGGGCGGACGCTGGGCTGTAGCTCACTGTGCTTCCTCCTCAACGCTTGCGCTCCAGAATCGCCATCCTTACGTACGGATTGGATCCCCTTGCTTTCAACGGCAGCAGTGTCTTGCGTTCCCACGTGCACCCAGGCTTGGCATCCTTGGGAGCCTTTTCCTCCCTGGGCAGTGCTGCTGGCAAAGGCGGTACAGGCCCTTTGAACAGCAGCAGGAGGGAAAATCCCCCTCCCTGATGATCCTTTAGTCCAGCTGCTGCTCGGCTGCCCCAGCCAGGGCAAATCAACCAGCTTCCTCCC